GATCATGACCTGAGCCGAAGGCAGACGCTTAACGACTGAGCCACCCAGGCGCCCCCTCACTTTAGTTTTAATCTGCATTTTCTTGATTATTAATGCAGCTGGGGTTTCTATTTCTGGGCCCCCAAAATACTGTTGTGGAATCAATCTTAATGAATTACTTCAAGAATTTACACTGTTAGTGCTATAAATTATTGGAATGTTTTGTTCTTACAGTTATAACAATACACACAAATGTGTATTGCACCTCCAAGCATTTCCAAGACCTTATTCTATACATTCACATACATGTATGTTATAGACTAAACGTTTGTGTCTCCCCCAAATTCATATACTGAAATCCTAACCCTGAACATGCTATTAGGCTTACTTTTGGAAGGTAATTAGGTCATAAGGGTGGAGCCCTCATAAATGGGATTAGGGCTTCCTCCTGCTCTCTGTTCTGTACCATATGGGGAAACAATGAAAAGACAGTCATCTAGAAGCCAGGAAGCAGGCTCTCAGCAGACACTAGATCTGCCAGCACCTTGATCTTAGACTTCCCAGACTCCAGAACTGCGAGAAAAAGATGTCTGTTGTTTAAACAAGCAGTCTATGGTAATTTGTTATAGTAGCCCAAACTAAGAAGTGCTGAAATCTAATTTATTTAAAACTTGCTTGTTTACCTTAATTGTAGATCATCCTATTCCAGTATGCATAGATGTACTTCATTCTTTCTAACTGCTGTGTAATATTCCATGGTATGGATGACCCATAATTTTACAGTCTCCTCTTTTTTAATTAATTTTTTTGAACAGGTAATATTTGGATTTATAAAATCCAATGTGTACAAGAGCATATTCCTCCTACTCCTCTTCCTCAAGAAGTCAGTAGCACTGGCCTGGAGGCAACCAAAGTTAGTAGCTGCAGTAGAGATTGGCCAGATGCTCACCACTATTTCTTCTTCCTGAGCACACAGGAAGCCATGTCCCAGTTTCCTTGACTTAGGTTGGGGTCAGACAACCTGGTCTGACCATCACAACAAGGGAGGAAGTAATAGACACAATTTCCAGTGTTTGCTACCTTTTGTGGTCTTCTCTCTCTTAGCTAACTAGCTGGCTGAATGCAGAGTCCAGTGGAGGACTCCAAGGAGGCCCTAGAAGATGCTGCCACAAGACATTAGATACCAAAATCTCTGATTCTCTGCTTGGAGGAAAGGAACTAGGAATATCAGCATTGGACTTTACGTGAGAAATAAGCTTTTGGGTTAAACCAGTCAACTTTTGGGGATGTAATTTTAGCTAGCATTAATTATAACAACACACACATTTCTTATGTATCCTGAAATACAAGCAATTGCCAGTCCTCTATCAAAGGACATGCAGATTATTTCCAGTTTTTCCCTATTACAATGATGCTACAATAAACATCCTAATGAGGTAGGTTTTTAGACATACTAAACCCTTAAGAGTAGTATTTGAAATGGAGCAGGCATATAGGAACCTGCTCCACCTCAGTGAGGTATTTCCCATCTTTTGCTTAATTCGGCTTGAGCTCATCAAGTTGGCTGCATGGTGCCATTCAAGCTACTCTCTGGCTCAGAATCCAGCTCGACGCTGAGATTCTCCTTTCTGCACAGACTCATTTTTTTCCTACAGTAACCTTTGCACCCACCTATTTCTTACATGCTCTCAGTGCCTGTCCCCTTGGACATTCATTTCCTGGGTTTGCCAAGATATCAGCTTCTTGCCAGGCTCCACACTCCTCGTTTGTGCATGTCTCCTGTACTCTCATGCTCCACCTATTTACTGAACACGACACTTGAATATGGGCCTGTGTGGGGTACCGTTCCAGGCACAAGGGAGGAAGCACACCTATGTAAGGTATGGGTATTGTCCCCTCTCATAACAAGAGATGATGTTATAGCACATGTGACATGTGATAAGGGCCTGATGAGGTGGGGGGCAGAGTCTAGCAATCTACAGTTGGTCCTGGCATTGACATGGAAGGGCTGAGAAAATTGGTTTATAACAAAGACATAAAATTGTGCTTTTTCTTTATTCAGGTTACTTATATAGGATACACATCAATTTTTAGACTTTAAAAATTTTCTTTCATTAAAGGAGCCTATAAAACTTGAATTATTACAGGGGCGCCTGGGTGGCTCAGTTGTTAAGCGTCTGCCTCCAGCTCAGGTCATGATCCCAGGGTTCTGGGATCGAGCCTCGCATCAGGCTCCTGCTCAGCGGGAAGCCTGCTTCTCCCTCTCCCACTCCCTCTGCTTGTGTTCCCTCTCTCGCTGTGTCTCTCTCTGTCAAATAAATAAATAAAATCTTTAAAAAACAAAAAAACAAAAAAAAACTTGAATTATTACAGCTGTAATTACCACTTGAAGGCATCACTAGTCCTGAAATCAGTCCTTTTTCCTCTATCCTGCAGGTGCTAAAAGCAGAACACAATGCAGGTAAGTTGCTTAAAGGCAACAAAGAAAGAAGGGGAAGCATGAATATACTTCCCCTTTGGGTTTCTCAGTCTAGGCAGTGATTCTCAACTTTTGGGTTTATATACTGTAGTAGATGCTGTCTATACCCTTTGGGCTTACTCTGGAGTTTGCTTTCAGAGCATTCTAGTACATGAGGAAGATTGCCTGTGTCTGTTGCCTGAGTGCATTCTCTGCCTTTGGGAGCATGTTTTTCCCAGCACTGAGCTAGGTAGAAGTACAGGAGCAATACCCTAAAGAGGGAAAGGAGGTGGTGGGTAAGTACCTCAGCTACCTTGCCTCTTCGTGGGACAATTCTGGGGTTTGTTCCTGATTCTCAGACAGTTCACAGCATGACTGAGCCCACTCATTAATTCATCTTTTAATGACTTTCCTTCCTGTCTCACTTCTCCATTCTGTCAGAGTGCCTCTTGGAGACATCTCTTAAATAAACTATTTGCATCCAAATCCGGGTTTTAGTGCCTGATTTGGGGAGAGATCCAAACTAACACAAGGCTTTCTTTGAAAATGTGAGGAAAAACAAGGTCTCTCTCCCCAGGAAAATATGTCATATTTTCAAGAAACCTAGGTAGGATTTGGTGAAATTTTGATATTAGGTCCAGGCTTCCAGATTCACCCAAACTTCTCTCCCTCCTCCCACTCCCCATCCTCCAAAACATTATGGAGGGAGCCATATCCAAGGACTGGCAGCCTAACAGGAATGAAAGTATCACTTTAATAGCTTCAAACGTGCCTAAAACTCCTTTTACCTGTTTAAAATACTCTCTTTATGAGTGGCTTCCTCTACAGTTTTCTCATAGAGGGTGTTTGCCAAACTCCTTAGGTATTTTCTAGCACGGTATACAGATGGTCCCCAATTTACAATGGTTTGACTTACAGTTTTTAGACTTATGATGGTACATTCTACATTTGGTAGAAACTGTACTTCAATTTTGAATTTGGATCTTTTCCCAGTCTAGTGCTATGTGGGACAATCCTCTCCCGGTGGGCTAGCCAGTGGCAGCTGTCGCAGCTCCCGGTCAGCCACGTGATCACCAGGGTAAACAACCATACACTTACAACTATCCTGTACCCATACAGCCATTCTGTTTTTTACTTTCAATACAGTATTCAATTACATGAGATATTCAACACTTAATTATAAAACAGGCTTTGTGTTAGATGATTTTGCTCAACTGTAGGTGAATGTAAGTGTTCTGAGCATGTTTAAGGTAGGCTAGGCTAAGCTATGATGTTTGGGAGGTTAAGTGTATTAAGTGCATTTTCACTTACAATATTTTCAACTTACAATGGGTTTATTGGGACATAACCCCATCATAAGTCGAAGAAGATCTGTACTGGCCTTTTCTGCATGATGCTTTATAACATATCTATTTATGTATTTGCTTAGTTGTTTACTGTTTCTCTAGTAGACGCTATGCTCATGAAAGCAGTAACTAAGTCACTTTGTTTATCACTGTATACCCGGTGTTTATGACAGTGTTCTCACATGGAAGATGCTCCATAAGCTGAGAAAGAGGTTGAGGTTTGGGCTCCTGGGCTCAAATAGCCACCAATTCCTTGCTCATTAAAAACATGGAATCTTAACCTCTATCAGGCCACATGGAGAAAGACCTGGAGACAGGCAAAATAAAGTAACCAGATCCGCAGAACAGATTCTGGCTCAACTACACCATCAAGCTATGTGTGAAGGAGGGAGAGAAGAACTCATTGATGAAGAATGTGGGTCAATTAATATACTAATTTTCACTATTAGGTTAGTAGCTCCTTTCCACTGGGGAAGGGGGAAGGAGAAAGGTTTTGGTCAAAATCTCTCCCTGAAGTATATACTATTCTGCATATAATTTCAAGGGAGTAAAACAAACAAACAAAAAAACTTACACAAACTTCTGAAGTCTGTCCATGGTCCACGCAGGCCAACAATCCCAGGTTAACAGTCTCTATGGACTTTTTTTTTACCGGTACAAACCTTGAGATCTCTAATCTTTACCATCAGATTTAGCTCCTATATATTTGATCCTCATACCTCTTCTCCCTGCAAAAAGAAAGGCAACACATAGCAGTAAAGTGGTAATGGCTGAAACCAATTCCTACAGCAAGGCCTGTGTTCTGCTTTCAAACATGGGAAATGGCCTTTTGGTTGTGACTGGAATGTTCTATTTTCGCAGTTTCCACCTGTTGAAATCATGTTACCTTTGCAGGGCCTGATACAAATGCCACCTCTTCCACGAGAAATGTTCTCCAATCCCACCAACCAGGTGGAAACCTAACAGTTCCATTCCCGCAGCTCCTGGTTGACTACTTTTGTTTTGTGGTCAGTGGCCCTCCTTATAGCAGAGCTCAGCACAGGGCTTCCAGGGCCTGGTAGGGCCTCGGCGAAGGTCTCTCTTCCTTAATGACTACTCCTGGTCTGAAAGATGTTCAATTCATGCCGATGCTCTCTTTTTCTATTTTAATTTCCACCTCAGAAATTTCCCCAATGGACCCAACTGATCAACCTGAGAAAACTCGAATTCGGGGAGGTCACACAAAAGTCAAGGCCCTTGCAACGACGCCAAATCACATGGACCGAATCTCACTTGTTTAATGGCCCAAGCCGCGGCAGGAGAAAAAGCCCAACTTTTCGAGTCCCCCAAGACAGGTGCTCCTTTGAGCTCTGGACCCAAAGTTGAATAGACAAGGACTCCCCTCCCTGCTCAATAAGGTGACAGAGAGGGTGGCGATAGACGCTGCAGAGAGCACTTCCCCCTTGAAAAAAGTGTCGTCAAGGGGCAAGCTTCCAGTTCCATTTCGTCCCACAGCTCAAGGCCTTTCATCCTAGTAGGCAGTTGTTCACACCCCAAGGCTACCCCACCCAGCTGCGCCCTCCAGCTTCTCCACACCCTACCGAGCCGTTTGCACGTCTCGAGGGTGTGACGGATACGCCGTGACATCACTCCGGGAAAAAGGCAAAGCGAGCAACGTACTGGCGATCTTCACGCGGCCCTGGCGCTGAGAAGCGCGCGGAGAGTCCAGAGGCGGGACTAACTTTGACTGACGTCCACACCCACCCATTGCCTTTCTGATTCCTTCTCAAACAAACCAATAAATGAGACGACGGGGAGACGGCAGCGTGCCCCAGCCGCCAGGAGTGGCTCCGCCCCCTCCACTGGGTCGTCGTTTGGTCGCCATGATTAGTGTGGCTACCACCTTCGTGCTACTTTAGGCTCTCCTCTGGCTTTCTGATACCCTCTCTGAACTCCTTCCTAAGCATTTGTTCCCTTCCACTGTCAACTTCCTCCTTCTCGGGATTCTTGCTAGCTCGGTGCCTATACAGCCACATTTGAGATGGCGGCCGGAGGCGGGCCCAAGGCGGGGCCTGCCCGGCGCGGTGACGTCAGCGCGCTGCGTGTCGGCAGGTGGAGGGAGAAGGGAAAGTTTGGCCCGTGCGTGGGGCTGGGGTGGAGGGCGGGACAGAGGGGTTGGGCCCAAGCGGGTACCCTGTCGCTGCTGCAGCGGAGGCCGAGGCCGGGACCTGGGCCGGGCGGGGAGTGCCGGACGCGGACGAGCGGGAGGAGAGGTCCGCCGGAGCTTCGAGCCCCCGCCGCTCTGCCGCGCGGTGACCCCGCGCCCAGACGCCGTCCGACCGGTGGCTGTTCCCGAGGCGGTTGCTGGGGGCGCGGCGGCGGCGGCGGTGGTTGGGGGTGGGGAGAGGCACGGCGAGCAGACGAGGGAGGTCAGCGAGTTTGAGGGAGGATCGCGAGCCTTGCCGCCGTCATGTCCGAGGACTCGAGCGCCCTGCCCTGGTCCATTAACAGGGACGATTACGAGCTGCAGGAGGTGATCGGTGAGAGCTGGCGCCGCTGAGGGGGGAGGCGCGCTCAGGGCGGCGGGTGACACGCGGGGACGTGGAGACCCGCGGGAGCTCGGGGAGCGCAGGACTCTCAGATACTCGTGGGCGCTCGTGGGGACAGGGGTTTGTAGGGCGCGTGGGTGAGGCTCCGGGTTTGTGCAAGGCGGGGAGGGGATTTTGTGGCGAGCCTGTGAGGCTGGTGGGGTGGGGTTTGAGGGGCTCGTGAGAGATTTGGGCAGTGACAGATATTTGAACCTGAGCGATAGATGGGTCTGGGAGGGGAAGAAACGTGCAGGCACAGGACAGGCCTTTAGGAGGCTGTATGAGAAATAGGCTATTGGAGTTGTGGGCACAGCCACCTATTTGGGGGATTGTGGGATAGGGGGTTTTAGTTCATTCCCGCGCGGGTGTGAGAACACTTGAGTGCCCACGAAGTGCCCAACATTGCTGGGGTGGAGCTGGGGATTCTCTCCAGATGAAACTGAAGCTACCGGGCACCGAGGCAACGTAGACACAACTTGGCACTGTTTGGGAGTGACTTTCTAGTCTGGGGGGGAGACATTGAATAACTAGACAAATGAAAAGAATTTCAAGGTTTGGCAAGTGCCAGGAAGGAAATAAACAAGATGTTCTGATAGAGAGTGACCTGGAGACCTAGTTAGGGTGATTTCAAGGAAAATTTTTTTTCTGAGGCGTTGACATTTAAGTCGAGCGCTGAAGGATGAGGAGTCTTAGGATTTCAGGGAAGATTTTTCCCTACTGAGGGATGAGGAAGTGCAAAGGTGCTGAGGAGGGAAAGAGCTTGATGTGTTTCAGGACCTGAGGGAAAAGTGGCAAGGACAGAAAGGGGATCTTCTCAGGCTTGGTAAGGATTTTGGAATTTTATTCTAAGTGTATTGGAGGGCTTCAGGCAGAGACGGAACATGATCTGAGGGATCTGGCTGCTGTGTGTGGAGTGGACTTGAGGTCCAGGAATACCAGTTGGCAGAGACCAAAACTTGCACAAACGTGGATTGTAATTCTCAGGCACAGTGATTGGGGGAGGGTGGGGACTTGGGATGAGGGGAGTATTTGTTGGACAACAATAATCCAGTGACTTTAGAAATCAAAAGGGGGTGGGTTTAGCTACACAGAAGCTCAATCTCACTGACATGAGCAGACCCCTCTGTATTGGAGGAAGGAGATTGTCTACTTAACTAGATCAGCATCCTGTCCTAAAATTAGTTTTATAACAAAGACTGGCTGAAAACTCTTTAGTTGCCTTCCAGGTGTGTTTATTGCAATGTGTCTGTATTTTAGAGAAACTTTATCATATTTCTTTTTTGCCTCTTTTTTTTTTTTTTTAAGATTTTATTCATTTATTTGACAGCGAGAGAGGGAACACAAGCAGGGGGAGTGGGAGAGAGAGAAGCAGGCTTCCCACTGAGCAGGGAGCCCGACGTGGGGCTCGATCCCAGGACCCTAGGACCATGACCTGAGCCGAAGGCAGACGCTTAACGACTGAGCCACCCAGGCGCCCCTGCCTCTTGTTTCAAAACAAATCTGGGCTAAGTTTTATCTGCAAGAAATCACATTTTTTTCTTTAAGCCATGTCATGGGTGTCCTTGCTGGATATTTGACATATACACTGGTTGGTTCTAAAGACAGCTAGCTAGGTCTCTGTCTTGATTGATTGCTTCTGGGTCCCTCAGTCAGTTTCATATTGAAGAAAGAAATTAAGTGAGAAATTTGAAAATGATGTCTGAAAAGTAAAGAAAGTGGATCCCTATCATTGTTTTAGAAGAGGAATGTTGCTTTCCTTTCTGGGAAGGTATACATCTTTCTGTGGTCATTTTTTATGCCTAGCTGTTAAGGTGGCATAAGGTTCTAGAGACTTAGAGACTTATTAATTTGGTATCCTCAAGCCAATAAGGTGTCTGTGAGTGGGCAAAAGGGAGTCTTAGTCCTCTGGGATAGGGTTAGTCTTCATCTCATTCTTAAAGTGGGCCATGGGTAAAAGGTTTAAGAACTCCAATGTGATTTTTGACCATCTTATTTTTAAAAATAACTTTACTGAGGTATAATTTAATGCTATAAAATTCACCCATTTTTTTTTAGTACAAAATTCTGTGGTTTTTAGTAGATTTACTGTGCTGTGCACCAGCCAGCATAATCCAGTTTTAGAGTTTTCATCGCCCAGTAAGATCCTTGTGCCTGTTTACAGTTAATCCCTGTTCCCACCCCCAACCCCAGGCAACCACAAATCTTTCTGTCTCTATAGGTTTGCCTTTTCTGGACATTTTCTGTAAATGAGATCATAATAACATATTGTCTTTTGTGTTTGACTTCTTTGACTTAGCATAATATTTTTTCATTTGTAAAAACAATTTTACTGGGTTATAATTTATATACCACAAAATCCACCTGTGTAAGTATACAATTGTATAATTTTTTAGTAAATTTACAGAGTTGTTCAATCATCCCCACAATCCAGTTTTAGAACATTTCCATCATTCCAAAAAGATGCCTCATGTCCATTTGCAGTCACTCCCTGTTCCCACCCCCTGCCGCAGGCAACCACAAATCTACTTTCTGCCTCTATAGATTTGTCTTTTCTGGATATTTCATGTAAATATAATCATATAATATGTGATCCTCTATGTTGGTTTCTTTGACTTGCCATAATGTTTTCCGAAATTCATTGATGTTGTACCCTATATCAGTACATTATTCCTTTCTATTGGACACCACGTGATGAACATTGTGTTGTTTCTCCTTTCTGGCTATTTGGAATAATGCTGTTATGAGCATTCACTCATCAGATCTTCATGTGAACATGTTTCATTTTCCTTGAGTGGAATTTCTGGGTCATATGGTAAATTTATGTTTAGCTTTTTAAGAAACTGATAAACCTTTTCAAAATGTATCATTGTTCATTCCTACCAGCCATGTATGAGGGTTCCTATTTATCTTTGTCAGCATTTGTTGTCTTTGATTATAGCCATCCTGGTGGGTATGAAGTGGTATCTGGTGGTTCTGTTTTGCATTTCTTTAATGACTAATGATGGTGAGCATCTTTTCATGTGCTTATTTACTAGCTTTTCATATATCTCCTTTGGTGAAATGTCTATTCAAATATTTTGCCCATTTGTGTTGCCCCTGGGTTATCTTCTTATTGAGTTATAGGGTGTGTGTGTATATGTGTTCATTTGGTTGTCAGTCCTTCACCTGATATATGATTTCAAATATTTTTTCGCCCGGTCTGTAGCTTGTCTTTTCATTTTCTTTTCTTTTTTTTTTTAATTTTATTTATTTATTTGAGACAGAGAGAATGAGAGACAGAGAGCATGAGAGGGAGGAAGGTCAGAGGGAGAAGCAGACTCCCCGCAGAGCAGGGAGCCCGATGCGGGACTCGATCCCGGGACTCCAGGATCATGACCTGAGCCGAAGGCAGTCGCCTAACCAACTGAGCCACCCAGGCGCCCGTCTTTTCATTTTCTTAATGGTGTCTTTTAAGGCAAAAAAGTTTTGAATTTTGATAGTTTTATTTATCACTTTTTCTTCTATTGATTGTACTTTTGGTGGGGTGTATCTAAGAGATTTTTACTAATCCAACATCACAAAGGTATTCTTTCCTGTGTTTTCTTCTAAGTGTAGCTCTTTACATACATTTTGAGTTAATTTTTTAAGGTATGGTGTGAGGTAAGATGAACCATCTTGTTTCACAGATGAAGACACTGGGGCATAAAAAGGTAAAATGACCATCTAAAGTCATAGAACTAACTAGTGGCACAGCTAATACCTGTGTCCAACTCTCCTGTTGCCTAAGTCAACATTCTTGTTTCTATGTAGGAATTTGGTTTTTGTATATAAAATGGAAGATAGTAGTCATAGTCTGACTAAGGGAAATTTTGAGGGTTTAAGTGAAACTAATTAAGGGAAATAGTCTTACAATGAAGGATTAAGGGAAATATCTTTACAATGAAAAATACAACAGGAGGAGATATTTTGAAGGTGACCTTTTTGGATGTAGTAGAATTTTTCTTTTGTGTATCCTATTTTGTAAGTTTTAAATGTCTCCCCCTCATTTGTAAGTTCCCAAAAGTTCCTAACATCCTTCTATTCCACTCCGAGCAGGGAGGGGAAAAAAATGTTTTTCCTTGAACTATAGCTTATTACAAGTAGCTGGCCTCAACAAAGTTGTGTATTCTTATTCTGAATTTGCTTCCATGCTGAAATGTTTGGAATACAGTAT